CCACTAAATCTCTTAAAAACCTGCCGCCATTGTCGCGTATTCAAACCCTTGAATACAAGTATCACAGCGCGAACTGCGACCTTAACCAAATTTTTTGGGCAAATACACCCTTCATGAAAAATTTCGATTAAAATCTGGCTTGAATTTCGAAGAGTGGGGCAGTAAAGAGTAAATAGTGCCGAATATTTTGATTTGCACTATTTTGTTGTCCGGCTCTTCGTGGAAGCGCTCCGTCTATCCATGTAGCTAAAAGGGGTTTTGAAATTCGCGATACTTTAAGTTTTCAGTACTTCTACTTTTTCCTTTTTCTCCATCAAAAGCGGAACGTTCCGCACTGGATTTTCGTTCTTTGAACTTCCATTCCACTTCCACATTATAATTATAACATATCAAAGTCGTAATTCGAAAAGACGTGGAGTTCCGCCTGGACACCGACATTTCTCTCATTTCCCATAAAAGCTCCTTACGCAATAACCCTTGTTGATTGAGCGTTGTCGGTGCACGCAATATCTTAAATGTGACGTGCATAAGTGGCGCGGTATCCCGCAATGAACCGATGATTTGTTGGGTCGTTGTGGCACCAACACCACTTACCGCTTCTTGCAATTGTGAAATAGCTAGTTCTTAGAAGAGCCGAGAACGTTTCTAACACGTTTCCTCTTCGCCATTCAGTGACATTCTCAATCAAACAATCAACTGATCCCCAATGAAGACCCGATATGACTCGATTAAACGACCGTAAAAAACTCTCACAACCACCAATAATTTCCAAAAAAGGACGGAACGAACTTGAAAGGTCTGATGTGATGAATCCATCCTTTTTCAATACACTATATGCATCACCCAGTGCATTAAGAACTTAGTGCCAGTTTCGACTAGATTTCAGTCGAGATGATCGGTGACAAAGTACATTCAACATTCAACAGTACTATTAGTATCAGTGAAGGCAGATGGCACGATAGTTTGGTGCTATATGTATATGTGAAATGCTAGCACGGTGCTATATAGTGGGAAAACTGAGAAAAAACGAAGTGAAAGCGGTCAAAAACCTGCGAAGAAAAGCCTTCGTTGTCAATGACTCAAAAAGCAATTTCGGACGAGTTTCCCGTAGGCATCTTGCCAGTAATCGCTACGGTAGGTACGGCTGCACGTATGTACTCATATATCCATGCAGCACCGCGCCTGATCCATATGAATTCCTACGGTTCATATCCTACTTAGAATGAAGCAATACGAGCATCAGGTACGGTATCCATCTGTGGGCAGGCGGTGTGGTGGGCGTTCGGGTTGGGTATGTTGTAGTTTGATAAGGGGCTCAACAAGGTACCTTCCCTGGAAAAGGCCTAGCAACGCCTGCTCGAATCGCGGAATTCCGTCTCGTGATGCGTATCAATCCTACTCGTGTTAGAGATTTATCGTGCCAGCTGCCTTCAGAGCAAAGACTTAGCCCCATCTTCCACTGACGACAGGATCAATCAAATACATGCTGGATCAGCCCCACAGCATTCTTGCCACGAACTCAGCACGGAAGGTATTCCAAATATCGTGATTCCGAAATATTTTGTGCTGTATTATTAACTCTTGTGTATGTATGGAGTCAAAACTGTAACTCAGTCATGGAAGACCTACTATAATATGAAAGGAGCCAATGGCACGGCAATATCCCACGCAACCCTACGTTTACGGGTGTCCGCTTCACCATGTTAAACGTGTGAGTGCTCTAAGGCTACGGCATACAAGAAGGTAAGCTGAGATAAGAACGGCACTGGTAGCGAAGCGGATAGCGCACTCGCCCGGAAAGGTTAGCTGTGGGTCCGAGTCACGCCTTGGGTTAAGAATTCTGCCCGTGACTCGGCATTCTTGTGATAACTTTCGGAGCGCAAACTGCAGCATTACACAGCAGCCATCATTATAAAGCAATCTAACAAGTGTATGCCAGGCATGTAGATGAAGAAGAAGGAAAATAGAGAAGTGGAAAATTGGCAAAAAATGGAGAAAGGGAAGATTGGCAAAATACGGCAAAAGCGGTAAGTGATAAAAACTGGCTGTTCTTAAGCGCGGAAGCAATTGAAAGAGCTTCTTTTCACACCCTTTCTCGATTTTCCTAGCCAAGACTGTGCATAGCCCTTGCGTTCCATCATGACAGCGCCAAACTAATTCCGTCCATGAACTAGAAAAGGGTTGAATGGTTGGGCCGTTTGATGGAGATATCAAAAGCTGAAGCTGAAGTTTGCAGAAGGAATGAAAATGCGGATATCAACTACCTTTCTCTAGGTAACTAGTGCTTCTCATTAATTGAAGATAGTGATGACCCTCTACATCGACAATTACTGCTGACGTCTTTTACAAACCAAGTGGTAAACGGATCTATGCGCAGCATTGAACTCTTCCAAATTCTTCTTGAACTTTGAGGACAACTTGGCACAACAAGGGACATGGCAAAGAGGGGGGGGGGGGGGGGAAAGGGGGGGGGGGGGGGGTGAAGAGGAGTGGTCAAGAAGCCCAGAGCTGTAAACCTGGAAATCGTTAGCGCCAGGAGCCCAGACTATTATCCCAAATAAGGGCTAGGGCATTTCTTCGCTTATCCATTAACTCTTAGCGAGAATCTGACAGACAAATCTATTTACCACACTCCCGACTAACTTCAATTTGCGGTTCTTTTTCCTTATAAAGCATAACACTTCCCTCTAGTTCTCGGTCTCGGTCACTCAATTGCGCTCACCTCTTCATGAACACTGGCCCAATATTGTACCTGCCCCTCCTGGAAAATCGAGGTCCTCTCCTTATACCGCAAACTTCCCAAAATCTAGGTTAGCCTTGAACAGTTACGTAAAATTGTCATTGTTGAGCATTCACGGCTAATAACGAAATCATCCTTTACATTTCGCATTCGAAAATTGCATGGCTGTCGTTGAAAAACAGCAGTCATAACCCTACACAAATCGTACGATAGTCACTGGCTAATCGCCGCAGTCCACCTTATGCCAAATGACCACACGTCGCGCGAAAAAATTCGCCATAAAACGCAACGTCGGCCATTAGAAGGGCAAAAACAGACCACCCGTTCGTTTGATAGCCGTCCAAAAAACAGCACAGCCTTTCGCTACGGCGAACAACGTTCGAAGAGAACGCAGACAACGCGTGGCCATTTTATAGCTTCGGACACAATTTCGTCGAATCGTTCAACGCGTTCAAAAGCAGGGATCGGCCAGAACTGCGTCGGACCACTACGAAGTTTATGCAAGTGCAGATCTCAGTCATGTGCATACAAACAACTTACTAATCGGAACTCGTCTGTCTGCTTTTCGGGTTCAGTTGTGTTCTGCTCGATTAATGACGGCAACTGAGTAGGGAGATCGACGTCGATCAACTCCGGCATATCATCGATGCTCTCCATTGGCAAATCGTCGGCCATTCTGCTGGAAACCAAGTCATACTAGAACCATAACACAGTCGGCGACGAGAGGTGAAGGTCTATTGTGCACTTTCGCTGCTACAGTAGTTCATGTTTACAAGTCCCACTCTGGTGAAACCTATGAAGCTGGAGTAAGCTCGTCCATCCACAGTGGTAAAGTACAGTCCTCATCATTACGGACTGTCGGGGCGGCACAGCCGCGCTGCACTGTGACGCGACAGCGGCTGCGGCTCGGTGACGGTGAATCAGCTGATTTCGATGGAATTCGGCTGCAAATTCCACTTTTTCAGCTCTTCAAGCTTCTAAAGTGGAAGGTGAGTTATTCTGAACAATTTTGAATTGTACTGGCTCTGATTTCCTTTATTTTTATGTCGATTATATGCTCTTTTCCTTGTATTTTGCCTTATTTCAGGCATTTATTCAAATGGCTTGCATTCTTTCAGATTCATTCAGAGTCAGTACAATTTAAAATTGCTCAAAATAACTCACCTTCCACTTTCGAAGCTTGAAGAGTTGAAAAAGTGGGAATTCGCAGCCGAATTCCATGGAAATCAGCTGATTCGCCGTCACCGCAGCCGCTGTCGCGTCACATTGCAGCGCGGCTGTGCCGCCCCGACAGTCCGTAATGATGAGGACTGTATCGTACGGTATTTCATTATTTTACAAGCGATAGGTGGTCTCTACAAACCCTGGTTGGTATAATTTCGTGGCTTCACAGGATTTCACAGGTCTCTACTTGATGGCTCGACACCTTGATAGGAAGAAGCAAGAGTGCAAAATGCCCCCCCCCCGTCGTCGACTGTGTCCACAACACTTCCGAGCTGCATATAGCTCTGAATGGAAAAATCTCGAAGATAAACAACTTGTTAAACAAGTTTGCTTTCAAGTTCGTAGAAGGTAACAAGTCAAACTTTATACAGGAGCCAAAACAACAACAATAATAACAATTTCATTATCAACAGAAATTTGCAAAACAACCAAAAACTGATTGCTAAACTACAAACATAGTGGCCGGGACGCAATGATCAGTTCAAACGCATTTGGTTCCATGTGAAACTCAGCAGTGAGACCTCTTGTCTTGCCCTATTCAAACGCTCCATATGCCTGAATAAAAATGAGAGTAAATGGACGAACTAATATTTTCAACTTTTTCTCAACAAACATAATCATTTCAGAGCACCTAGCATTATTGCAGAATAGTCAACAAGCACTTTCGCCAAGGCTTGACTGAAGATTGTCTCGAGTGATTCGTAGGCGTCCTTCCTCGTACGAGTAGTCTAGTCCTCAGTTCTCTGGGGCTGTCTCACTTTCGCGGCTTCGCTGAGTAAAGAAGGCGGTGTGGCCCTCAGGCTGCGATCATACCGTGCCACGTCGTCGTCAACGTTGACGTAGCCGACGAAACCGACGTAACCGACGTTTTCTGCGACTACTTCACGAAGACGAAATATGTATTGATCCGACGTTTCTGACGACTAGAGGCTATCTACGTATCGATCCACGTGTCGACGTAATCATGTAACTGACGACAGAAGATTAGATACGTATCGACTGACGTCGAAAACGTCGGTTTCGCAAGTTTCGTCGGATCGATACGTATATAATCTTCGCGAACTAGTCGTCGAAAACGTCGGTTACGTCGACGTTGACGACGACGTCGCACGGTATGAACGCAGCCTTAGTGGCATGACGCTTCCCTAGTTGCCCCGCCCACCAGAACTCAAAGGTTATTTCCTGACAGTTCAGTTTTTACCCAGTGTTTTTCGTTTTTTTTTGCCACTACTAGATTTTATCAGCATTGGATGATATCAGTAAGCCCGGGATATCTCACTGCTGGAAAAAACGAGCAGGTCTGTAGCACTCCTCCAGAGAGATTGCCAGTTCTTTACTTAGGGCGTTCTCCATGATTTTTATTTTGTTTTTTTTCTCCCCTGGAGGGTTATTCAGTGATAATCAGTTTGTAATAGAACGCTACTGCTCACAATATAAAAGCCACAGGGGTTGCCTTGGAGTGACAATTGACACTCTGCTCTATCATTGTAACTGTGCAAGCAGGAGAGAAGAGAACAGAACAAAATGATAGAGCCTTAATATGAATAGATGACCCCAAAGATGACTCACCTTTTAGTGTAAGGAATCAATGATTCAATGGTAGATCTAATATTCGGCAATTCGAGCAGCTGTTCGGGTGGAATTATCCTCAGCAGGCAGTTTAAGACATTCTGACTCGCCTGAATATTGTAATTTGTAAAAGAAATATTGAGAACCGCAAAAGCGTATTCTATTGCCCAAGCATGAGATGGAATCCTCACCAAAGGCTCTGAGAATGGAACGCACTGCTGAATTGAACTACCATAATTACCCCACAAACCCAGGATTTTTTGTGAAGTTTTGCCTATAGAGGTAACGCAGTGCTCTGATCACAAACATGACATTCATTTTTGGCGCTAGCGTCATTTGGCGTCATTAGACGCGTACTGTCGTCACCATCTTCCCTACCAAAACCGACGAAAATTTATTTGTATGCGGGGGTTACCTGACCAGCTGATCACGAATATTACCTTCGTTTTCGGCGCTAGCGCCATATAGCCCTCCGCTAAGGCTTGAAAAGGATTATCTTCAGGTCAGACTTAGCGGAAGGGGTCACTATCTCGGATAAAATGTGCCAACAAGCGTGCCATGCTGCGCTGCCACATTTATCCCCTTACTCCATCCTCAACTCCACTGACATCCAATGCAGATGTGATCTTCGCGTTCAAACTACCCTTCGACACAAGTTGCCAGCGATTTTGGTAATTGAGGGTATGCTGGCACCAGCGCCTATGGAGCAGGCGCCAGACGGTTTCGGGCTTAGCGGGTGTAATATTTACGCTCAAGAGCTCAAAATACACCTGGAGGCAGGTTTCCAGGCAAATCCCCCCTTGCCGACTGGGGTAGCAGTATTTCAATAGTGCCGAATGGGAATAATCAGACAACAAATATGAGAAGAAAAGAATGGATACATTTCTTACAGCGCTGTTGATTTCACTCCCGCTTAACATCCCCTCCCCTTTCCCCATAGCCTACTTCTCGGATCAGTTTAGTGAGTAAGGACGCGTTTCTCAAGGGAAGTTCGGAGAAACCAGAGCCAATCCTTCTCTTTGATAAGGCTGCGTTTATACTTTGCGGCAGCGTAGCGTAGCGCTTCCAGCGCAGTGTCGGGGAAAGGATAGATATCGATCTAGCGTTCCCAGCGTCACCAGCGTACGCTAGCGTAACGCTAGCGTAGCGAGGGCACGGGATGCATAGCTATCGATCTAGCGCTCCCAGCGTTTCACTAGCGTTTCGCTAGCGCTTGCAGCGGCAGGGCTAGAGACTATGGGATAGTAGGAGAGTATTCTGTACTACTGCTGCTCTTCTATACTCTCTAGCGCCGCCAAGTATTTTGTACTCTATTACTCTTCTATACTCTCTAGCCCGCCGCTGGCAAGCGCTGGAAGTGCTACAAAGTATAAACGCAGCCTAACGCTAGCGTACTCTAGCGTAGCGAGGGCCTGGGATGTATAGCTATCGATCTAGCACTCCCAGCGTTTCACGAGCGTTTCGCTAGCGCTTGCAGCGGCAGGGAGTAAAGACTAAAGACTATGGGATGGTAGGAGAGTATTCTGTACTCTCCTACTCTTCTATACTCTCTAGCGGTGCCGAGTATTTT